ATAAAATAATGAGATGGAGACTCGAACTATCCTGTTACAGCTATGATATCATTTATCGTCCGGGAATCGACAATGTTGTTGCCGATACCTTCTCAAGAATCTGTGGTGCGAGTAGCGATAGAAAATTATTCGAATTGCATGAAGCACTATGTCACCCAGGAATCACCAGGATGTATCATTTTGTTCGTACCCGAAAATTGCCATATTCACTGGAAAACGTCAAAGAAATGACTACCGCCTGTCCTATTTGTGCTGAAGTCAAACCTCAGTTCCACAAGAATTCAGAAAATAACCTTATAAAAGCTACCTCTCCATTCGAACGTTTGAATATTGATTTCAAAGGTCCAATACCTTCTGTTTCACACAATCGATACATACTCACCATCATCGATGAATATTCTCGTTTTCCCTTTGCTTTTCCATGCCCAGACACCAATACGTCTACAGTTATCAACTGCCTGAATCAGTTATTCTCAATATTCGGTATGCCTTCCTATATACATTCTGACAGAGGATCGTCATTTATTTCTCGGGAACTAGCCATTTTCCTCAATTCACGTGACATTGCTTCAAGTAGAACGACTCCTTATAACCCTCAAGGTAATGGACTTGTGGAGAGGTATAATGGTATAATCTGGAAAGCTGTGAACTTGGCACTAAGAAGTAGAAATTTAAAAACGTCTCAGTGGGAAACAGTTCTTCCAGATGCACTACATTCAATACGATCTCTACTTTGCACTGCAATAAACTGCAGTCCACATGAACGAATGTTCTATCATCCTCGCAGATCAACCAATGGAACTTCTATACCTTCATGGCTATCACCTTCTGATAAAGTTTTCTTGAAGAAACATGTTCGGCAGAGCAAGTATGACCCTCTTGTTGAAGAAGTAGAAGTTATCGAGGTTAATCCTAAATACGCTTTAATACGTCATGAGAACGGGAAAGAATCCACTGTGTCTCTGAAACATTTAGCTCCAAGGGGAAACATTGGATTATTAGAAGACGAAGATAATGATTCCGATATATCCCCAGAAGAAGACAAAACCTCAACCTCCGCGGAACAGCCTGAGCTTCGTCGATCTACACGGTTTCGTCGATCTCCTCAACATTTTGATGCATCGTCGCATACAAATTGAGTGGGGGAGAATGTGATAATAATTCAATACCCTGTACTTTATTTTATATGATAGTTGTTGACTGTTCTGACAGTACTTGTCAATCATACCTTAATTTGTAAACCCGTCTATGTTTTGCGGAATAAAGCCTACAAGTTGTAAAGGTTTACTACACTGAACAAAGACTCCTGCTACTGATTCTTTGTTTCTGCGAATTATAATAACATTTCGAGGCATTATATATTATTCAACCGAAGACAACAAAGTCAACCTGACTCAATTTAACCAACCTCAAATATCCGAACTACATTTCATATTTCATTGTTCCATGATAGGTACCCATTCAGGAAATAATTCTCCTACTACGAAATAAATTCATCTCTTTGAATTATTGCCATATTTTTGTTGCACCTTGTATTGATATCAAGAAATAAATATCAAAATCATTATGCATAAAAAATCATATATTCATAATGCGGATTCAGATTTGAAAAATTTAAAAACTGCTTCGAGGCTACACGAAAATCTTTATGTTCATCTCATAAAACTCCATAATTTCGTCAATGGAATTGAAAAAAACATTTTTCGACAGGAGAGAGATATGGCTTTCTTCATCGAATCTCACAATAACTTCAATGTCAACCTGTATGTAATTCATTTAAAGTTTCTGTATCTGGACACTCTGATATATCCAGAACTATCCACAGAATGCGAATTTTTTCAAAAAAAACATCATTCTAAAGAAAAAAATATTTCTCTGATATAAAGAGTCTGATTCAAAAAAATTCGAAATTTTCCAGGAGAAGACAACAAGGTTCATGATTATTGTCGAAAAAAAGTATAAAAAATATTTGCTTCGACGGAAACGTTACGACACCGCTGCAATTTCACACTACTTCTAGTGGCGTAACTAGAATTGTTTGGCCCCAACGCTTAATACATAAGGAGGCCCTCCTTTCAGTCTCAAATCACGAATAGTGAATAAATATAAAGAAACGAGCTAAACGACCTCTATTTTTCGAATTTACCATAGTTCACTTGTAGCCTGACAAAAAATTATTCACATCAAAGAGAAGCAAATCTTTGAAATCATTCTAGAATTCCTGAGTTCATAATAGGATTCAAATTTTTTTCATCATAGGTAATATCACAAGTGATACTATTCTGCCGGAAATATTCGGCGATTCTTACGACAGCTTGTTGGCTAATAATTCCGCCAAATGACATTGTTTGTCAAAACTTTTGAGTCGTAGGCGAGAAGTTTTGAAACAATGTCATGAGCGAAATGAAAAGCAGCAAGTTAGAGTATGTCAATCGTCGAATATTTCGAGGAAAAACAGTATCACGAGTTGTATTCTCATGAGTATTTCATGATTGAGATAATAAACGAGCGGCTCGCGAGAGTTGCGCACACTACTGCATCAATCATTCTGGCTTTCGACATAATTGACGTTATAAACGTCAACATTCAAAATTTTTATCGATGAAAAACAAGGTTGGTTGGTCACGTGTGGGTCAATTCGGCTTTTTTATTGGTAGAGGAATTCCGATAACATATAGTGAACAGAAAAATATCGCTGTAATACTAAAGAAACCGTGAAAATGGACGATTCTGCTTGACTCTCAAGAACAAGAGTGGAAAAGTCAAAGAAAAACAAAACCATAAATAACTTCAAATTTAAACTAACTCATTAAACGCTGAAATTATTTCCCTCGCTTTATACATATTTCAAATCCATTAACTGGGTTAGTTAAGGTTCAATTTGTTGGCAGCTTCAGTTCCGACAAAAATCAAACATGCATATATAGCTTTTGATGAGTTTACATTTAATAACGCGTTGTCCTAAGTGGGCGACTGGTATGCGGACGCGACGGGAAAATGTCAAACCACGAGAAATGTTAAAGTGTCTTATGTGAACGAATGCACGCCACAATCGACGAACACGCGTCGACTAGAGAAAAGATGCGATCAATTGGATTGATATTTTCGCGTGATCCTAACTCGATAATGGCGGAATTTTTCGTGCACGTGTCTCTGTAGATATATAATATTAGTTCCATTTCTTTGACATCGATATTTATTCAGGAACTTGAAGTTAAGATATGAATTTTCTAGTAAAGAACACATACGTCCTGCCCTGCCATTACGAAAATACAAATTTGCGAACGCGAATATGGCGCGAAGTACCTACGACAGCACGGCTGCATCGCTTCGCTTGGAATTGCCTCAAAACCGCGTCCTGTCGCATCGCCTAGCTTCGCGACAGCTGTTACGACGCTGACGGCCAACGTCGTGAGTTGCAATAAATGCAACCAGAACTAGAGCAGAACATAATACAAAATTATGTTTGTTTGACATATGACTGTCCCAAGGTTCATATAAAAAGAACTTCAAAATTTGAAATAATTGCTTCAAATATTTGCTTATTTGAGTTTTCCTTTTTGGGGATAGGAAATGAGTAGTAGAAGGAGCCCCCCCCCCCCGCAAGCTTTAGGGCCCCAACGCAATGCGCTCACTCGTCTCATGCTAGTTACTCCACTGCCTACTTCATTCATTTATTATGAATGCTTTTGTAAAGTGTTCTGATGAGTAACTGAAAAATTGGGCTAGTCATATGTGAAAACCGAATAGAAATTAGTCATAGGATACATGATTCATTCGATTTTGAAATCTGCTTATATTTTGAATCGCGACGTTCATTTTGTTGATCACTACATATCGTTTTTATGCACTTCAGAGCCTTGAAACGTTGAGGGAATATGAACTATAGTATCACACTACAGTGTTTCACGACTAACCAAACCGATGTTTCAACGCCTCGATACGTATTTTGCTAATTTGAATGACATATTCAGGAGAGGATTGAAACTAAATAAGAAGGACTATAACTGCGCAGTCACATAATAAATTTTGCATGACTAATTTGAGGGTATCAATGTGTGTGTTCTGATTGGGATAGGACAGTCGTTCGGCTACCATCCATTTCACTAATCTACGACATTTCAAATATGCTAGGTGTATTTTGAACTTTCTATTTATGATTCGTTTAGTTTTGCCTATATATATGTATGTTTTATCACTATTATCATAAACAATTTCATGAATTTCATCTCATGGGTAGCCTAATGAATTGTCTGATTGTAGAGACAGTGATAGTTAACTTTTACAACAGGAAGAATAATATGCCCACTAATTACAAATTCTCGATAAAATCAAATTGGGCATTGAGGTAACATTTCTGGGAACTCACCAAGATCAAATACTGAACTGGCATATGCAGATAAATAGTGTCTGCAATGAAATGAACAAAGCATTCTTTGCTATAAAACAAATTAAAATTTTTTCAGATATATCAAGTCTACTGAATATATACTTTGCCATGACATATTTCCACATATCACTTGATATAATGGCAAGGGGTTCTACCAATGAATTTTCCAGAGTCTTTGTAGCACAAAAATGGATCATTAGACTAATTTTCAATGTGAATCACCTGGAAAGTTGCAAATTAGTATTCAAACGTGAAAATTTATTGACAGCGTACCTAGTGTATATCTTGAAATGTATAAGATTTGCCAGAACTAATTCACATGAGCTGGTGAAGAATTCTAGTGTGCACAATTACAATACGCGACATGGAAATCTATCGCGGATTCCGGATCATAAATGTGCAAAATATGAGAACTCTCCAATATATAATGTGATTATAGTGTAAACGAATTCTTGAACGATGCTCTAAATTGAACATTGATGAAAAAAGATCGATTTGGTTGGTGATGAAATAGTGTAGTGTATTTATCGTATTGTATATTGTCAGTTTTCAAAGTTGAATGACACGATCTTTGTTTCCAATATAGCCATCCTTCTTAATCTTCTTTTAGGAGAACTCCGATTGGCACGACCACTCACAGACATTGTCACAGTTTTCAACAATGGCAAGCCAATTTTAATAAATGTGGTGGCCGAAGAAATTCGTTCCGATGCCGAAGAAGCCCCTGCGCAATCTAGTACCGTGCAGTTAGCATTAATACCTCCTGGTGTGACCGCCAGATCGCCCACATTTGGCGCAATCGAGTACAACGCGCTACTAGATGAGAACGCGCCTACGGGTTCAGTTCTGGATCTCGCGCAGGCAGAAGTGAATACGCAGCCAGGGGATGTTGTTGCTCTGGAACTGGAGAATAATAATGGTGAGAAATGAGAATATTGAGAAGTGAACTCACATTCATGTATATTCAATCAAAATTAATGTTATAATGGATAAAATGCTATCAATGAAGGCCTCGAAGATATTTGAAATATATTCTGGAGATGAGGCATACATTTTTTCAATTGACTTATTCCTAGACCATCATTGGCCGCCCTTGTTTAAAAAAGTCTATGTATATCATATTTTTTCATCGATTTTTCTATACAATAAGACAGTTCACAAAGTACATTTGAAGATTGATTGACTTCACATTGTGAGAGTTGGTTTTGAAAAATTTCAGCTAATTCAACTGCGTCTGATTCCAGGATAGAATCAGATTTCATCATAAGATACCTTTCGTTAGCCAGAGAAGGTTTCCCAGATATGAACTATAATTTCAGTGAGTGATATACAGGGTGTTTCACAGGTGAAGGGAAATATCTCAATGGTAGATAGGGGTCACCAAGGTGGTTCTGAAAATACCATATTTGATAGGTCTTGGAGTATTCATAACGGAGATACACGGCGATTTATCGATTTCGAATAATTATTCATTCGTCTAGAAGTATTGAACTATCCAGTATATTTTTCTAATATTTGGTATGGAGCTTATACTTGGGACGTTGAATTCATCCACCTATCGGGCGAAGTGAAAATCCAGGTTCGACTTCAGGAAAAATTTACATTTATTCGAAATATTAAAATAACACTCGGTATGTAATAATTGACAGAGTTTATCAAAGGAATCGTCAAGAAGAGAAAAAACTGGACTGGATTTGATGCTTTTTTTTTCCGCCACCAATTCTCATCGTAACAAGATAACAAAAAGCTAAAAGTATGTCAATTTGAAGAGTATTGAAATTATGAAACCACTTTCAATTATGATTATTTGATATATTCTTGTTACTTGACTTAATAAGTCTCACAGTCCTTATAACAGAGACACAGGGTGAATTATCGGTTTCGAATAATTATTGACTCACTACCCATCGCAGTAATATTTTCTCGAATTTGGTATTGAGACGATGGATTCATTGACCTATCAGGCGCAGAATGGAAATACAGGTTCAGCTTCAGGAAAAGTCTCATAGTCTTCATAACAGAAATACAAGGTGAATTATCAAATTATAATTATTTGGTATTATTTCCATTCCGCCTGATAGGTTAATGAATCCATCGTCCCAAGTACGAGTGAATAATTATTCAAAACCGATAATTCACCCTGTATCTCCATTATCTCGTCCTTCATAAAGACTGTGAGACTTAGTTAGTTTTTCCGAGCGATTTTTTGACTAAAATATATCGAATAATCATAATTGACACTGGTTTCATAATTTCAATACTCTTCAAATTGACATACTTTCAACTTTCTGTTTATGATTGTTACGATGAGAATTGGTGGCGGGAAAACAAAAAGCACCAAACCCAATTCAGTTCTTCCTCCTCTTCACAATTCCTTCGATGAACTGTGTTAATTATTGAATACAGTGTGTTATTTTAATATTTCGAATAAATGAACATTTTTCCTGAAGCCGAACCTGGATTTTCACTCTTTCCGATAGGTGAATGAATTCAATGTCCCAAGTATAAGCTCCCTACCAAATTTAAGAAAAATATACTGGGTAGGTCAATACATATAGACGAATGATTAATTATTCGAAATCGATAAATCGCCCTGTATCTCCGTTATGAAGACTCTGAGACCTATCAAATATGGTATTTTCAGAACCACCTTGGTGACCCCTTTCTTCCATTGAAATATTCCCCTCTACCTGTGAAACACCCTGTATAATATACCAATATGAATGAAAAGGTCTGAAGGTCTGATACAGACTTTGCTAAGCAGTAATTGATATTTAACATGATAAAACGAAGGTGTCTCTAACGTCATTTATTTCGAAGATCATTTCACTCCTTTCAAACTACACGTTTTTGATTGGTTGAAATATCTGTGTTGATAATTGACATGATGTTTATGTTTCTGTATTCAGGCTGTTGATTTGCTACTGGATACCTACGTGACTGTGTTTTCGATATCGTATTTTGCTTCCTCATTGGTAGTTTGATCAAATATTTATATCAAAATGAATAACATGCAGCAGGCTGTCACTGACATTTGGATGTCATAATATTTTCATATTCATGGTTATATGTATATATAGCACTCAACACTAAATTTCAGATTAAGAGGGCATATTCCGCAGCGCCTCCGCCAATAAACGAGGTACCGCTCCCAAGTTTCCCTATGGTTATGGATCATGCTAGAGGCTCAATTTTTTTTCCTGGGTAGTCAAAGGTGCAATCGATGCATCTTATCGAATGGATTTTCATTTTTTTACATAGACTAATTTATAAACACCTGTAAAGTAGTGCGTTTTTGTGAATTTTGTGAATTTTTTTCTACGTTATGGAATCAAAAATGAAGAAACTACTCGATAAGATGCACAGATCAGATGTAGTACTCTCCAAGAAAAATTTTTTTTTACTGAAATCTTATTTGGTTTTCGCATGGGATTGGGAGCGGAGGCACCGTGAAGAAGAATTTTCCCTGTGGGCGCGGCACTTGCCAAAAATAAGCTCCTTCCATAAAGTTCAAATGCCTTATTGATAGTCAATGGTCCTATGATGAAGTATGATATTTATTATTTTCACGAAATAGTCTGCGATCCAATTTGTCTTTTCATGATACGAACCTATTTATATTTCGTTCAATAAACCTATACAAGACTTATATCTGATGTATAATAAACATAGGTATCATGATGGAATTACCAAAACAATTGTGTTATATCTATAGTCATATAATATTATATTTTTTGCTGGAATGTTCAAAACGATATCTTTAGTACCTATAGTCCAACAAATAGATATATAGATATCAGGAACATGATAAAATGATTCAATGGATCAGGGTGAATTTTACTATATATAGACTAATTTTCTTATGCAAAGTTGAGCCAACAAAAAACACGGTTGCTTCGTCATATATAGCCATTTCTATAAAACAGGTGAGATGAGCGAAAATGTACTCCAAGATTTATAAGACATTTTACATTTTCCATATTATTTTGAAAAAAGTGAATGGAATACTGATCTACTCATTCCACAGAGGAATGTCCTAGATAATAATATATAATTGAATGGAATATATTATAGATGAAATCTCTCAGACGCTTAGTTAGAGAATTATATATCCAAAAATACCTAATCAATGCAGCATCGTTGGTTAGGAAGAATGAACATTTGCAGAATTGGAATTAGAATAGGTGAGGAAAGCGAAAAAGTACTCCAAGTTTTATAAGACATTTTACATTTTCCATAATATTTTGAAGAAAATGAATGAAATACTGATTCACACATTCACAGATAAATGTCCTAGATGATAATAATTATAGATAGAATCCGAGATGGAATCCTTCTGGTGGTAGGTAGGTATGCGTTTCTTGCTTTCCAATGAATTCGAAGGATCTAGAAAATAATGTATAGAAGTTTGAAAAACTACTGCAACACGCTTTCATGGATAGCCAAACTAAATAGAAGTAGAAAATAAAATAGAAAAAGTGTGTTGATACATATTTAACTGAAAAAATATTTTTTAGAAATAATGTTTAATGCAATACAAAGTTTGCCAGGTGAGCTAGTGCCTGATATAACTATGTCTGATGCCACCATTCCCACCAAATCCACTATAACTATGCTCGGTATTTCAGTCAGCAAAAGTCTTTCTAAGGATAATCATAATCAGGTCAGATCCATTGGAGCGAAATCTGCTCCACAAAGACTTGGATTTTCGTTTCTTGCGAAAAGCTGCTTTACACCTCAACAACCATTTTTGAGAATAATATATTTTTCAGTGATTTGATAGATCAATATTGAAAAGCTAATTCTAGGCTGATTCATCACCCTATTTTCGAATTTTTCGCTCATCGTTTCAAGCAAAAAAATCTATCAAAAGCATCTTTTATGACGATTTTGCAAGACAAAATGTTAGTATTGATTGTAAGCTCATTAACTATTCCATCTTGGAACAATTTGCTGCATATTTTTTAGAACAAACCTGTGGATTTGCTGGCTTTCAACGAACTCAGCAGAGCCATTTTTGAAAATTAAATACTCTTCACTGATTTGATAGATCGATATTGGAAGGCTAATTTTAGGCTTATTTATTACCCTATTTTTGAATTTTTTGCTCAACGTTTCAAGCAAAAAAGACGAAACGATTCGTCGAAATACACGGTTATTCAGTATACATTATGCATCTATCAAAAGCATAATATTTTATGACGATTGTTCAAGACAAAGTGATTCTATTCTAATACTATTCCATTTTGGATTTTTTCGCTGCATATTTTTCAAAACAAACCTGTGGCTTTGCTGTTTTCGGGCGAACTCAACAGATACACTTTTAAAAATAATATTTTTTTCACCGATTTGATTTATCGATATTGAAAGGCAAATTTAAGACTAATTGATTACCCTATTTTCGAATTTTGTGCTCAACGCTTCGAAGCAAAAAAAAAAACACTAAACGATTCGTCGATATATATATCAAATGAGTGACAAATATATTATTTTCAAAAATGGCTCTGCTGAGTTCGCCCGAAGCCAGCAACATACGTTTCTGTTAAAAAATATGTAGCAAAAAATTCCAGAATGGGATAGATATCGAGTTTACAATCAATACTAACACTTTGCCATATGAAATCGTTATAAAATATGCTTTTGATAGGAATACATAATGAACAGTGGATGACGCGTAGTTCGACAAATCGTCTTGTATTTTTGCTCTTTGAAACGTTGAGCAAAAAATTCGAAAATAGGGTAATTCATTAGCCTAGAATAAGCCATTCAATCTCAATATATTGAATCGGTGAAAAATCAATGTTTTCAAAAATGGCTCTGCTGAGTTCGGCCGAAGCTAGCAAAGCTACAGATTTTTCTGATAGAGAGGTGCGTGAAAATTTTGGCATAGGAAAATGAATGAGCCTAAAATGAGCACTG